ATTAAAAATGAATTAAAATTAAGAGTATAATGTTGGTTAAGCTAAAAAAGAATGACATTAATCATTGAAGGTATGACAATAGCTCTGCCTTAAAACATGGTACCATTACAAAGACATCATATCCTGTCTTGGATTTTAATAAAATGCACTATGTTAAGGAACCCCCGAGTAATTTCATACACCTTGTCTATAATTCTTTGCGTCACTTTAGCCAGAACAAGTTCGGTTTGCAGGCATTTTCAGTTGACACATACCTTCTAAACAAAACACTTCTTTCTGATATTGATAATTGGATCAGCTTAGCATTAATACTGTTTGGTATTCAATTCTTGACTGTTTAGGCCTGTTGCATGCCTATATGTTTATCGGACCAATTGTCAGAATGCTAGCTACATCTTAGCTTGTCGATTTAATTTATGTATCAGAAGAAGCATCATACAATTTTGATGTTTTGTAGTTTTAAGAGTGCAGAGAAGTTACAAGATGATCAAGCAAAGTGGGTTTTTAGAATCCTTACTTCATTTGTAGCCATATTTTGGATTGTACATTCTTAATGGTTAGGCACCAAGCCATCCTTTGGTCCTTCAAAATAACATGTAATATTGGTTGGTAATTCCTTGTATCAATTCTTATCTTTAGCCTTTTGCAAATTAAATACCATCTCTGATCTTCACACTACTAAGATCCAGATGAGGTGCTGCATGTTGCATCTGATGTTTGAATCAAGGAGGAACTTTCCCCTGAGTTATGTGGGTGGATTTGATCAAACTGGCTTCTAAGGGTTGGGAGCCTTGATTCATCTCCAGAAATGCTGGGATCCATGATCAGCTCTGGCACAAGGGTTCTGCCATCAAGCATGCTCACTACAGATGACATGATAGGCCTAAGCGCTGGTGATGGATTTGTACACAGCAGAGCTACTTTGATCATTCTAATTACCTCTTCCTTGTTAAACTCAGCTCCCAACCTTGGATCAACTAGATTCATTAAATCCCCTTTTTGTTGTAAAACAATGGCCTAAATAAACATTCTAATCAGTCTAAAAATGTAGGATACAAGAATAATGCTAGTTGTATTTAACTAAACATGGAATCTTACCCAATCTCGAAGGCAAACAAAATTTTCATTCGGGTGATATTTTGCATTGCTCTTTCCGGCAACAATTTCTAATGCAACAACCCCGAAACTGTAAACGTCTGCCTTGTAGGTTAGATAACCCCATAGTGCATATTCAGGTGCCATATATCCTCTGCATAATGGAAACTCTAAGATCAATTTGGTTTACTTAACTAGCTGAAGTTTTTACAAGAAATAAAAATTATAGCTGCAATGAATAGTTGCAAAAAAGTTCAAGAATTTAATAGATTCTTCAGATGAAGAATAGAGACTGAAACAGATTGCTTACATTGTTCCTGCAATTCTGGTGCTTATATGAGTGTTTTCCTCTTCATCAAGCTTGGCCAATCCAAAGTCAGAGATCTTTGGATTAAGATTCCTATCAAGTAGGACATTGGTAGTTTTGATGTCTCTATGAACAATTTTTAGTGTTGATTCCTCATGCAGGAAGGCCAAACCTTTTGCTATGCCAACACAAATTTTCTGCCTTGTAGGCCAGTCCAAGTTAAGTTGGCCTTCCTCTGGAACTGTTATTCAACCAGTGAAATTAATCACTAATTCTTTCTTTCCTATGATAATTATGAAATCAGCATAAGGTGTACATTGAAGAATGAACAAGTAAGGCTCACCAAATAAAGCACGTGCAAGGCTGTTGTTTTCCATGTATTCATAAACCAACAGTAACTGATTTTTCTCAACACAACATCCATACAACCTGACAAGATTAGGGTGTTGCAGTGCAGAAATCATGCCTATTTCATTCACAAATTCACGGGTTCCTTGTTTTGATTTTGAAGAAAGTTGCTTAACCGCAATTATTGTGCCATCTAGTAACACACCCTGAGATGGATAAATAGCAGTTTTATGAAGATTTGACAAATGTCATGATAATGAACCAAAAAAGGAATGATGGAATGACTTGATACCTTGTAAACAGACCCAAAACCACCTTCACCAATTTTATTTGTATCATCAAAGTTGTCAGTGGCAGCTTTGATTTGTTTGAAGGTGAAAAATCCAGTTTGCAGATCAAGTCCTCTCAGAACTTGGAAAAGGGATAAAGAAACCGGTCAGATTACAGAGGGATGGAAGAAAATGACTTTTATATTTCCAGTTATATCATTCAAATAAGTACTTGTGAGCCCAGACAGATTTGTCATGAAAGATAAGGAAACTACTATTCTCCGCATTAGTTGTACCTTGTTCCTTGGATGTATTGTGTCCCAAATAGATTTTCCACCAAAGAGCCCCTAAAACTATGAAGACAAGGCATGAGACAGAAACTATGACTGCCACTAGAACGTCATGATCTCGAGGAGGCTTGAAATCTACAAAGGGAGGAAAGCAGTTAAAGTTGCCAATTTCCTAGAATGAAGTTCTAAAGCAAAATATAGATAAACTACCAGATTCTACTGAGATAGCTGATATAAGAGGTCCATATGTCCCTCTCCTCGGTACAGCGGTTGTGCCTTTCCCAGCCCAGCGAAAGTTGATTGTTAAAGTTTTATTGCTGACAACTGCTTTAACTTTCCTAATGATTGGCTTATCAACACCTCCTGCCTCATTTTCAATATTAAAATCCTTGACCTCAAGCTTCTCCTGCAAATTGCAATAAGCAAAATTAGCATCCATCTTCCTTTAAATGCAGAATGAACATACAAGCATGATTGACTACCTGCACATAAATGTCAAAAATTCGTCTTCCAAGACTGTGAAAGGATCTATTGTTTCTGAAGACTATTTCCGCAAAGTGCAGTGTAACAGTGTAGTTTCCATTTGCTAAGCAGCGTAGGTAATATGTGAGAGAGAGAGGTGAAAGCCGTGCTCTTGTGTACAATTCAGAGTTGGTTCCATTGATTTTAGTCACATTATAGGCAATAAACAGCTCGGTATCTTGATTAAGATCCCAGAAATGTCCAGTGTTACTACCTTCCCAAGTTTCTTGCACATGAAAGGATCCTGCTGGATTTGCTAGATATTGGTCATCATCGTACTTGATGTCTCCAATGGTAGTTGCTCCTCCACCACAGTTTATGTAGACTGAATAATGATCTGTTAAGATAGAACAGTGTATCGTGGTGATTGGATGCAATCAAACATAAATAGGCACAGGCTTTTATGTCGAGAAGAGACAAAATATTTGGCTCAAAAGATATTTCAGAGTCTATAGAAGAAAATCACCTTTAGAACAAGGGTAAGTCCTCAAGCAATTATCATTCTCTCTACAATAACAATGTATAAAGGGAATAGACTTGAATTCAGTAAAATTTGTCCTGAATGAGAAAGGGATTGATGAATATACAGAAAAAGGCTTTGGAACAAACAGAAGCTTACGAGTTGTTTCCTCCTGATGAGCTTTTGAACAAATTTCTGATGAAACAAAAAACCAGTTACTCAAAGTTAAAAACTGTAGGAAGACAAGAGAGCTGAGTTAACTGAGAGTTTTGATCTTACAGAGTAAGTGGACATGCAAGTAGCTGCGAGCTCTCATTAGAAAGATTATTATAAGAGATGTCTATATAACTGCACATAAACATAATGCACCACCAAATCAGAAAATGATGATGTTTAGCTTTATAACTATGGGAACAATGTTTTGTAGGTCATCCTCCTAAATGTTTTTTAGTAGACATGTCTAAAAACCAATTGTTGGATTGAAAGTTCTATACATATAGATCACGCATGTAAATTTTATGCTGATTTAGTATGTCTAATCATTTCATTAACTACAAGAAATTTAACACTGTTAAATATATGATAGTAAATAAAGTTACTTTGACCAAAAGGTTATAAGTGTCAAATCAATATGAAAATTAATATGCATGATCTACATGAATATAACTTTTAATCCAATAATCAGATTTTGAAAATATTAATTAAAAGGTGGATTTTTAGATATGTCCTCCAAAAAAAGAATTTAGGAGGATGACCTACTCTGCACTATCCTCATTATAATTAATATTATGTTGAAAGGAAGTTACAAGAGGTAAATATTCAATCTTTCAAAGAAAGCTTGAGAATTTTTTTTTTTCAATTTTGTTTCATAAAATGCAGAAGTTATGAAGTAAAATGGGGCTGGGGGCATACTGTCTTGCTTGATTCTTCATCCAGTCTGGAATAGGCCCAGTGAGCAAGTTGCTTGTCAGATACCTAAAAGTAAAACAACATACCTATTTTGGTTAATACACTGTCACAATATCTAGATGCGTTATGCAGTATAAATTCACTACCATTCATCAAGAATTCATAGTTCTTACAAGTCTTCTAATTTTGTTAGCCCTTCAAAAAAATTTGGAATGTTTCCCTCCAACCTGTTGAAGCTAAGATCTCTGAAAAAGATAAAAAAATTGTTGAAGCCTTTCTGAAATTGGGACCCTAATTATATTCTGAAAAGGAGAACCTCATTTCTTGTAAATTATATTACTAATTGAAAAATGAGCAGTGCACCCTCCAGTTCAATACATTTCATAACACATTAATTAAGAAATTATTATTTTTTAATTTGAATTAAAAGTAAGAAAACTTAAAGTTGCAAATTTTAATGGCTAAACATGTCGGTGTTAGCTGGTATATTGAACAGAAGGGTATATCAATCATTTTTCTTATTAATTACTTTCAACTATTACCATATATCAAATACAAATGCATCAGAAAATGGAAATATGAAAGGGAAAACGGGAAATAGATTAATAGAGGAATAGAAGAATTACAAGATTTGTAGTTGGGACATTGCTGATATATATTCAGCCGGAATTGGTCCAGAGATATTGCAGCTCCTCAACATACTGCAAGTTATGCAGAGCCAACCTTATGTGAGCACACCTTCTAAAAATATGGATGTCTGGTTCTGGAGCACTGTAAATGCCCAAGAATTGAAACAACTTTACGTGAGTACACCTTCTAAAAGACTACTTACAGTCTTTTCATGTTTGTCATCTTTTGTAAATTTGGGAACTCTGAATCCACATTGCTTAAGTCACTAATCCTTCTGCATAAAATTGAAAGATAAGAATCTCTCGAAACTTGAAAGTACACACATCTTAAACCGGAAGTCATCCAGATATGAAAGGCATAAGATTCTTTACATTAGGAGTTGAAAGTGAATGAAGTAAAAAGAATAACTCACAGTTCAGTTAAACTACCCAAGACTGCAATGCTAGAAGGAATAGGCCCTTTGAAACCACTAGCTTGAATCTCCCTATTACAACACCCCCCCCCCCCCCCCAAAAAAAAAAAAAAAACCACCACCACCAAAAAATAAAATGAAATTAAACTTTCTGATGAAAATAATAAGAAGACTATAGGGTTGGACAATATGCAAAGATCCTTACAGTTTTTGAAGCTGTTTCCAGCTTCCAAATTGATCTGGTATTCTTCCAGAGAAGTTGTTACTGCTAATCCTTCTACACAAGAGCCACATAACAGAGACTTCTCCATAAATAATAATAATAGTAATATAGTTTTAAGTCTGACAATTTAGAAACTTCTGAAACACTAACAGTTCTGTTAATTTGGATAGATTTGTAAGCGATGAGGGCAATTCTCCAGTGAGATAGTTAGCACTAAGAATGCTGCAAGAACAGAAGGGAAGATTAAGACTGTGTCGTTTCTTTATCATTTAATCATGGAAAATCAAATGTACTGTCCAACTGGAAAAGAAATTCTGACAGGTTCTCCAAGTTGATCAAATTCCCCAGCTCAGGAGGAATAGGTCCAGAGAAAAAGTTGTTCTCAAGGTTCCTGGAGGCATCAAGTTATTTTGAGCGTTACAGCATGGCAAAAAAAGTAAAGAGTAAATAATATGGTTCAAAACCATACAAATATCTGAGAGTGGTAAAAGTTCCCAGGTAGGGAGGAATAGGTCCTGATAAGTTGTTAACAGAAAGAGACCTGAGGCAAATTCAGACCAACATTATGTTATTGCAAGTAATTAGCTGTTGCTTGTTAGCCATGAATTCTAAGTGCATGTGTTGCTTACACATATTCCAAGTTAGCAGAAGCCCATTCACGTGGTATTGGATCACTAATGAAGTTCCGAGAGAGATCACTGTAAAACCAAGAAAAAAAAAATCATCTAAGAACAAGCTCAAGATGCTCCAATTTTCTGATTTTAAAGGGGAAACTAGATGACATTAAGAACTTCCTTACATTGCTTTCAGGTAAGGCAGCTTTGTGAATGATCGTGGTAGCTTACCAGCAAGATCCTGCCCTTTAATATATCTGTTTTAATTTGCAACAGGGCAAGGACCATTACAGCTTCAATTTTGGTATGGTCTTGAATGTTCAAAAGATAACGTGTGGTGACATCATCTAAAGATGAAACCATAAAAGACCATCTAAAAAGCCAGAACTGAATGGTGCACCATTTTGTCAAAATTTTGGCCAACATAACTTTCAGGTAGATACATCCTTAAGTTCTGACAATAGTAAAAAGAGGTAGTACTTACATGCCAATGACATGGCATTCAGCATTGAGGAAGGAGCAATTGCAGATGACAGTACTGTTGGTGATGGCTTGAGGCATATTTTCTAGCGGCCATGGAGTGAACCAGCTTGATTTATTGTTGCAAGGGTTCTCAGTGAAGTCCCACCCCTTTTTGCCCAATTCTTTGGCTATTTCCATAAGAGCTTCAACTGCTAGCGAACAATTAATAGAGAAAATTATTCACAAAAAGAAAATTAATCGAGAAAATTTTCAAGCAATGGCAGGAGATTTCTAGTTTCTACAAATATACTTACTTTCAGAATCTGGAGGAGAAGGAGGTTCGGCTTGAGATTCAACTTTGATTCTCATGCAGCTTACAAGGGTGAAGAGTATAAGAACTCTGACCATCCTTGCTTGATATTACTGAGCTTCGTTCCAAACCTAGTATCAAAAGAAACAAATAAAGCTACTCAGAATGAACTTTGTTTCACATGCCCAAACATATTACAATAATTAGATGTACTATGGTGACATCTAATAATGTCTGGACAGCCCAAGTGGCTGGTTGAGAGCTGGCAAATCCATTGACCGAGAAGTTTACTCGCCAACACTAGAAGCATCCCGCGTGAACTGATCATCAAAGACATAGTAAGAAAGATCTAAATATTTGTGGGGTAATAGATGGAAGAAGACTCGAAGTCATACTAATACTGGTTTTTTTCAATGTCGGTGTCTGGTTTTTTCCAACATTTACGCGTGACTTTTCCTGAAAACCTTCATTGCATGGAAGTTTCAAGATGATAGATGACAGATGCTTGTGGAATTAATTAACCCTCAATCTTGAGGCACAGACGCACGGAAGCATGACATATAATTCAAGCATTCTCTTTCCTTGAGATAAAAATGTAGGCCCTCTTTATAGGGGAAATTGATTGAAAGCTGTTCGGTCACCATCTTATTACTATTGGAATTAATGCTATCACTATAAATTCAAATAATGGAGAAGCAATTGAGAAGACAACTCATTCTCTCTGTTTGATCATGAACGAATCTGCAAACATCTGAAACGACTGAGTAAGAGGACGAGTTAGGTTAACCAATTTAATAAGCTTGACATATAGTCATTGTTCGTCCAAGTAACAACTTCCAGTGGCTATGCCAAAATTCCCAAACTGTATAAATCTGCCTTGTGGGTTAGGTAAGTGGTGGCCCCATAATCAAGAAAATGAAGAGGAAGCTGTTAACCATGACCAAGAAGACAAATTCCAAGTGTCGGCAAGAGAATGAGTATTAGCTCTGTTAAGTGGTAAAATCTGTTGAAGTTGTGGTGTCAAAGCTGCACAAGTGGCAGCAAGATGAAAAGAAGGGAGGGCCGCACCAACAGCACAGTAGCAGCAAAGTGCAGCAAGCAAGCTACAAATGTTGATGAAATGAGCCTGTAATGAACAGCAAATGAAATGAAAATGCAAATGAAAGGCTGCAAAGTAGCAGCAAAGTACAGCAACATAGAGTCGCGCAAATGGCAGCAAATATTTGATAAATTTTCTTGTATTACGAAAATATCAGGTGAGAAAATTACTGCCAATGTATTAAATGATTTCTGCTATATAATGGCAGAAGATGAATGAAAAAAATGAGTTTTCACCTCACCAAAAGAGGGAACTCCGGGTTTGTCTCCTCCTCCTCCAAGCCCTCTCTTAAACCCCCTTTCTTACAACCGAAAAATCTAACCCCTTTCATTTTACCACCTAAAGCATAATAAGAAATATGTGTGAATTTAAATATAAGGGAGACTATTCTACCTATTATTAATTAGTTTTAGGTTGGATGAAATCTTGATGGATTTTTGGATGAAGACGATTAAAGAACAAGAACACAGATTATGAAGAAGATTTTGATGAAAATACAGGTCTGGATTTTCATTTTTCCAGTCTTTCTCTCATTCATTTCTTCTTGTGATTTTTCATACAAATGCAACTTAAATAAAAAGAGGGATTGCATTGCTTAGCATCCCTTCAACAGTACAACAGTGCAGAGAATTAGATTTAATGCATGTTTGCTAAAGTGGTGACATATCCGCACAATTTTCTTCCAAATACATTTTGTAATCTAAGCATCAAATGTCAACCCCCAACAAACTATTAAAGACACTTACCACATTAATTGAGCAGAGTTACAATGCAAAAAAGCACTTCTAACAAGCCTTGTGTTGAATAGCTTAGCCTCCTTTGTGTGAAGTCTGTTGTTACCTCTAATGACAGAACCCAAAATTCATATATACTGTTAAGTCACAAATGACAGGACACAAAGTTCATATATACTGGTAAGTCACATGACGTCCAATTAGTTTTATTTTGGATAAATGAACATCCTTGATAAAAGGAAAAAGCTTTCTACCCATTAGATTTAGCTTCAAATTCACTGGAGCCTGTGTCTTTGTGTCTTGGTTTCCGTTTGTCCCATTGCTTCTCTTCCCTGACCACCATTGCTGCACTGAAGCTCACTCCCTATCACATTTCTCCTCCAACGTGACATGAATCGTGAGATTAGGGCGGCAGTGGACGTATGCTTGATGAATATTACAAACAGATTAGAATTTTTTGGCGTATAGAAAGTTAACCGCTTAGTATTTCTGAAAGTATTTGACGGCCATAAAATTATTTATGAAGGGTGTTTCGCTAATTCCATAACACGAACTGAACAAAAAAATTAGTATGCAGCAAACATAAGACCTAATTTTGAGATTTTTTATTTCATAAGCAACCTCGTGGGATGACTCTAAAATCTTTATCTTGCAGAGTCATTGATTTATAAAATGGTATAATTATAATTCATGTATATTTTAATAAAAAAAGGGTGAAGCCAAAAATAGAAATTTTCTGTATAATTTAGAGGTATAGGATCAATCAAATGATTATTTTATTAATTTAGCACTATATATCCTGAATATTACTATCTAGTAAGGGAAAGAAGGTGGCGTTGATGACGTTTGTTTTTTTTCATTTTCTTCTACTTCTGGATTGCTAGGTGATGAATTTGGTAATGGGGTCTCATGCCTGCATTTAAGTGGATGATGTGACCATCTCTTAAGGTTGACAATGGCAAAAGCCACTTCTGCGTTTATTTCAACTCATCCAGCCTACTCCTTGCTTTCTCAACCTAAACATTTACCAACAATCACCAAAAAAGAAAAAAAAAAAAAAGAAAAATAAATAAATGATTTACTTCCAGTTCTTGAATTTACTGCATTATTGGATTTATACCCATAGAAAAGATTGTCTAAGAAAAACAATATTTTGGGAAATATTTACCTCCTTTTGCCAATCTGTCCTCACTGTGACCCATAATAAAATAAGAGTTTGCATAATGGTCCCTCCTATCATTCCAGCCCATATACCCTACAGCCATCAAGCACATAATGCAGATCATGAGACATACAGACCTGTAGTTTTTATCATGAATCATAAATTTGCATGCAATAACAAGGTTTTTTTCTAAATAGGGTTCAGAGAGGGCATATCTTTTACCTTTGCCCCAAAATCAAACTTGAAACCAAGTAGGCAACCTGATGGGATACCAATGATATAGTAACACCCTACATTGACATATGCAACAAATGCTTGCCATCCACAACCAACAGCCACCCCTTCCAAGAATCAAAATTTTACTCGTGAGTCAGACTATGGTAAGATTAGATGTTAGAGACAAGAAACAGAAGGATGAAATCCTTGGTTACCTGATAAAACGGGTTGAACACCATTCAGAATGACTGATAATGCCAGCAAGGGAGAGAGTTCTGCCACTGCCTCAGCAACAGCAGTGCCACTGGTGAAGGCATAGCTGATGACATTGCGTGTCAAAAGCACGATAATGGCACAGATCACAGAGATGATGAACGAGCTTGAAGTTACTATTAGACAAGAGAATGCCGCTGCTTTGGGATGCCCAGCTCCGAGCTCATTGCTCACTCTCACACTATATGTTATCACATGACAAATGAACAACAATTTCTTAAAACCCTTGTAGGTGATAGAAAAATATAAAGAGAGCATTGTTAAGGTATAGGAGCTTATCAGATGACATTTCTAGCTAAATAAAACATTTGGCCTGGCCAAAGGGGTTTTGATGATTGTTTAAGCTGTCCCAAATGAAAATCATGAGCCACTTATATCAACATTGTGATATTCTTTAAGCAATATAACTAACTTGGTTGGGGCTTAATTGCATTATCCTTACAATAGAAAGGTTTAGAGGAAAACTGACCTTGCAGCTGCATTGAAACCCACTGAGATCATGAAAACCCAGACAGATACTGTCATGCTGCATTCAGTAAGCTAACATTTAGTTTGTAGAAATGTTGAAATTTAGAATTAAAATTACACATGTAAGCTTGTCTTCTGTTCTGAAATTAAAGGCTATCTACATTCATTAGTTTTGGCATAACCTAAAGTATATATAATGTCACCAAGGTAATGACATGCTTAAAGCTTAAATTCCAAAGAAAGATTGTTTCTGGGAAGATAAACAGATATTTATAGTAAAAAAATAGGCTGAAACTATCAATCCCTGAATGTATTAGCATGGCAATTCCTTTGTCAAAAGGATTTTAAAAGTTTTCATCTTATCAATGCACTTCGTCTAGTGCTAAGCATCAAATCCCAAAAGGGTACTGGGATTTCCCCTTTTCACATGGTCCCACTACCTTGTCTCCCAACAAGCAAAAAGGAAACCAAAAATGAGAACAATTCTAAGTTTCTAACCTTAAAACTGGAATGTGACAAAAGAAATAATTGGCTGTTTTGTTCCTAAGTGGCCACCTAGGCCGGTGCCCAGACAATAGAAATCCTAGTTCTATTGAAGCCTAAAATCAATCATAGTCAAAGCATGCACTTAGTCCAGAAAGGAACTTGAAATTAAAGTTTTTTCCTTACCAGATGGAGAGAGAGTCCAATGCAATCTCAGCATTTTGGAGTAGCCCTGCAATCAGGACTAGTATCTGATAGTACCAAGTTTCAAGGCAAAGCATAACAGCTGATGCAGTTGACAATTTTAGGAAGTCCCAGAGCCCTGAAAACGCCTGTATATTGAAGCCAGTCCATGTTTTCCTGCACTTTTCACTCATCAAAATGTACACAAATTGTGCCCCCACTATGAGCCACCAGGACAGACTCAAAACTAATGATCCACCCAACAATCCCCAATCAAATTTGTAAATTGCAAGCCAGCTGAGTAAGAGATGGACCCCAGCAACTGCTGCTGATATGAATGCACTAGGTGCTATTATGCTCTGCGCTTGGAGGAACTTCTGTACAGGAAAATTGGCTGCGTAGGCGAAAATTTGGGGAATGAGCCCGTAGACAAAGATTGCAGCTGCAGATGCTATGGTGCTTGATTCACCTAGCAATATCAATATGGGTTTGGAAAAGATATATATCAGCATAAGTGGAATCCCAGTAGCTGTGAGGAGAATCATCGACCTTTGCATGTATATCCCCAGCATTTCATATTTTTGCGCCCCATAAGCTTGGCCACACAGCGTCTCCACTGCACTCCCCATACCCAACTGCACATAACAGAACATTTCAGCACCTTAATATCATGTTCGATAAAGTGCTTCAGAGAGAAAAAAAGGCGTATACCATAAGACCGTATGCAAAGATTTGAACGCCAGTGTTGCCGAGAGAGGCTGCAGCGAGTTGAAGATTCCCAAGATGGCCACAGAAGATCTGAGTGGACGTGGAGACAACATTGTTGAGTAAGTAAACAACAATGGCCGGAGCTGCAAGACGGAAGAGGATGTTGAGTTCGAGCCAGGTGGCCAACCGAAACCGCTGGAAGTTGGACAAACATGGGTCAGAGAGTATGTCCTCGAGTTCAGAGCTTACTGCCACCAAGGAGGAGTGTTTTCGCAGCATGGGTTCATGGACGTCGTCATGGTCTGCACTCTGTATGCTGGTTTCACTGGACTCCATTGATTCTCCCCGATTTCTTGTCTTTATCTCTGGGAATAAGCTTTCACGGAGTAATAGGTATTTATTTATAAGAATACAAGTACAATCATAGCCATAAAGGGAGTGAATAAGGAAGAAGATCAAAATGTCCTTTTATAAAAATTCAAAGTATCCAAAGTAATGTTGCCTGCTAAGTGGTAACGTCTATGATCACATCATTCAAACATAGTGCCTTACCTGTTGGTACCGTCTTCAAGGTCTGAAGTCTCAATTCCCGAGCTTGGAGATTGTAAATCTCAAATTCTATACAAAAAAAATGATTCTCTAATTTTGAAATTAAATCTCTTAATTTTAGAATTCAAATTATCATGTCTTTGGTATTGAATCATTAATCAACTCGTAATCTATGGGAAGTCCAAAAAGGGTTAGACAGGCACCTCTGATTTTAACTTATCAGGCTTGGATGAAAATTTTAATTAATTAAAACCTCTTTTTAAGCTTTCAAACTTCGCTTAAACTAACGCATAAGTCCCTAAATTTAAAACAATGTATATAAACCATTAAACTCCTCTAATGATGAAAATTAATCTTCAAATCCTTTGAAATATGCAGATCAACATTCATCATTAATTGCTTAATGCATGTGATTTCATACTACTTGTTTTTTTCCTTTGTTTGATTCACTTTTTTACATAAATATTGATGTAGATCAAAAAATTTATTAAGTGGTAAAAATTTCATCCAATGATTTTGATGAGATTTTTATAGTCCAAATATCATCATATTCACGTGGAAAAGTAAGAATAAGCAAAGAAAAATAACTAATGATGTGAGATCACATGCATTGAGCTGTTAATAATGAGGTTGATATGCATTATTAAAGGGGTTTGAGAGCCTATTTACACCTATTTTTAGTTCAAGCTTTAGGGGCTCACATTTTAGTTTGAGGTAAGTCTAGGGGTTTAAGAGGGGTTTCGCCAAAAAAGAATTATATTCCGGTAAAGAGAAAGGCTGCTAAATATGGTAATCTATAAGAAAATCCAATTTTAATTGAGTTTCTATAAAAGAGTTATTATATTCAAGTAAAACAAAGGCTGCTCAATATATATAGTGGTAATGTATAAAGAAAATCCAATTAAAAGAGATTCTATTAGAGTTATATTTTGTTTCCAATTTTAATAGATTCTATCAAAGAGATTTTGTTTTAATTTTAATTGAACCAAGTAGGCTAGTAATCTTCTTTTACGTTTTTCTTCCATTTTTTCTCCCTTTTCTCCTCTATCTCAATGAATTCAATAGTGGTAAATATAATCTATCTATTCAACTTTAATAAATCTAATTTTTAAATTAAAGTATTGAAATTTAATTGTTCATTTTTTATTTTAGTGATGAATTAGGCCAACTAAAATCATACAAAGAGAGTAGTAAAGTAGTATAATGCAAACATTGCAAAGTGCAAACAAAAAATAAATGTAATAAAAGTGACCTCACTAAAGAGTAATAAGTAGGGTAGAGTAAGTTTAACCATCTTCCTATCTCTATCCAATATGTTTCTTTCTCTCTCCCTAAAAATAATGTTGACTGATTATCAATAGTAATTTTGTAAATTCATTGGGGAGTGTTTTTTTAGTTGAGTTAATAGAAATTGGATTAATTTTTGAAAATTTTTTTTTTGTCTATTTTTATTTGTATAAAAAAAAAGTTCTTTTTTATTTTATATAATGGCATTGGTCATAATTATTGAAGATTTTATATCTTTTTTATTTGCATAAAAAGTTTTTTGTTTTGGTATTTTTTTAGAATGACTTTTGATGTAATTAATTTTTACATTATATATATTGCATTTATATGGAAAATTTTTTTTTTATCTTTTTAGTTTGATTTTAGAATTAATTATATTTTAAATCAAATAAATTAAGTTTAATAGAAATAATCTTAGTTTCATAAATTTTTATCACATGGCACTAAAAGATCTAAAATATTCAAAATTTAATTATTTAATATTACATTTTTTATATTTTATTTTATTATTTACTTTTGATAATAATCTTTTTCCCTCTCTTAAAAGAAAGATACAGTCTACCAACTTAGAGAGTGGATTTGATAACGCTAGTATGTTACAAGTCTCTAATGTCCGGAGACATTGGGATGTTAATTAAACAGATGCAGAGGAAGACTGATTCCTAGACCCTTGGGATGTTGAACGTTGCGGCGCAGAACTTCCTCCAATACTCTGGCTCCTGGACATAGATAAATGGTGGTCTCGTATCAGTTTAAACCTCAGATCATCACTGTAACAACTTGCATCCAGGGCTGGATCAGGGATGTCACTTTTTCCTTCCAGCATTCCTACAACTTCAGACATTTTTGGTCTTAATGCAGGCGAAACATTTGTGCATAACAGCGCTACTTTGATCATCCCTACTGCTTCTGCCGTGTTAAGTTCTGTCCCTAGCTTGGCATCCACCAGCTCCAGTAGGTTTCCATTTTTAAGTAATTGGCAAGCCTACAAAAGTAAATATGGCGATAAACCCAACAAAAATCAAACTTTGATTTGAAAAATCATGAATTCAGGGAAGAACTGAATTAGAGAGGGTGAAAATTAGTGATTACCCAATCCAAAAGGCAAGCATACTTTTCCTCAGGCCCCAATGTCATATTGTTCCTCCCGCTGACAATTTCTAATGCTACAATTCCAAAACTATATACATCTGCTTTATACGTCAAGTAACCCCACAATGCATATTCCGGAGCTATAAATCCTCTGCATTTATTTAAATACACCAAGAAATTTCATTTAAAGTTCAGAGATTCTATAATAAGAAGAATAACGAAAGATGACAGTATCTTACATTGTTCCAGCAATTCGAGTGCTGATGTGGGTCTTATCCTCCCCATGAAGCTTAGCCATCCCAAAGTCAGATATTTTAGGGTTCAGGTCTCTGTCTAGAAGAATATTGGTACCTTTAATGTCCCTGTGAACAACTTTGTATGTAGACTCTTCATGGAGAAATGCTAAACCTCTAGCTACCCCTACACATATCCTGTGCCTGGTTGGCCAGTCTAGATTCATTAGACGACCTGGCCCAATAGTCAATCATTCCAGGAAAATTCCATAAGCAAAACTCTTATATGGTTTTTATTTCAACATTTCTATCCATAATCAATCCAGCAACTTATTCTAGAACAAACTTACCAAACAAAGCACGAGAGAGGCTATTATTTTCCATGTACTCGTACACTAGTAACAGTTGATCCCCTTCAATGCAGCATCCATAAAACGTTACAAGATTGGGATGTTGCAGACATGAAATCATGCCGACTTCATTTAAGAATTCCCGATTTCCCTGACTTGATTTTGAGGAAAGCTGCTTGACAGCAATTACCGTACCATCAGATAACTCTCCCTGCAATCCAGTATGGACAAATATATTTAAAGAAGAACCTTTGATGAAGTTATTTATTACTATAGAATTGCCAATTTGGCATGCATACCTTGTAAACAGGTCCAAATCCACCTTCTCCTAGCTTGTTTACAGGATCAAAATTGTTGGTGGCAGCCTTAATCTGCTTTAAGGTAAACAAACTTGTTTGGATATTGAGTTCCTTACGATCTGAAGAAAAAGAGAAATGAAGCATTATAAATGATTTGTCTCACTGAAATAGTTCAAAACAGTCTACTTATAGTGATGTTTTTCATAGAAATGACTTTTTGCACTGAATACTTCAAACCTTGTCTCCTTTTCTTGGATCTGAAATAGTATCTCCACCAAAGGACACCTAATGCTAGTAATACAAGATATGATCCTACAACACCAACAGCAACTGGTACAATCCTTTTTGTTTTCTTCTCTGCATAACGAGGTCTGAAATCTGCCCAAAGAAATCATCAAACAGGCTGATCAAAATCCTTTTGCACAAGGAATAGAAGAAAATACAATACTAGGATGCATGTGCTGCATTTTATTTCACACTTTAAGCTATTAGGTGGGGAAGAAGAATACACATACTAGGCTCCACAGAAATGGCTGATATCAGTGGGCCATAGACACCTCGAGAAGGGATTGCTTGAGTTCCTTTGCCAGCCCAGTAGAAGCGGATCTCTAATTTACCATCTGTTACACTAGCATTGAATTTTTTTGTGAATGGAGTAAGAACTCCACCAGCGTTAGCTTCTATATCGAAATTTGGTTCCCTTAGTTCATCCTGAAACATGAAAATATATCCCTAGTACAATTCACTCTATGAACACCATTCTTTTGATGCAAGGAACTCAATATAAATTTTTCAAAAGAAACTATGTTTCTCAGTTGGGATCATTTACCTGAATATAAATATCAAATAAACGTCTTCCAAGACTTCCAAATGTTGCATCTTTACTGAACTGAATCTCCGCAAAATATAAACTTACAGTATAGCTCCCATTTTCCAGACAGTATCGATAATAAGTAAGAGAAAGAGGAGAAAGACGTGCTGTAGCATACAATTCAGGAATGTTTGATGGTTGCAGCCTTGCAAGAAACCGGGATGGTGGATTTTGTTCATCATTGTCATCCCTGAAGTCTCCACTGCTACTAAATCCCCAGTTATCAGAACCTTGGTATAATGATGCGGCAGCAGAATTAGATCTTCCGTCTCCTACATATGTTATGCCACTTATTTTCACATCATCTCCACCACAATTGACATACAGAGAGTGCCCATCTGCCAACAGAAAAACATATTAGAAAACCTGGAAAGGAGCTTAGGAGATTCTTCTAAATCATAATTGTAGCGGAAAATGCTAACACCTCATATGGATTAACACTTAAAATAGACTTTTCTAGTTATCAACCGGCTGACCATGGTAACACTTAGTTTTCTTTTTCTTTTCTTAGTAAATAAATGTAAAGTAAAATTTGTAGAAATGAGTTCATAGAAAAAATTCTCAAGGTTTGTGTATTTCTCTAAATCTTCAACTAACATCTTTGCACACTTACATTTGTGGCACTTGAAGTCATTCACACACGGAAGAACTCTACTCCTGGTTTAATCCATGAAGAAGGAAGATGAAAACTCATTATTAGCATAAGAATCTCATGTAAGGACAGCTTTACTCTACCAAAGATGACTGGTACAGATGACAGAAAAATTACTACAGTGACATATCAACTAAGTGTTATGCAAGCTTCCTATGTTAAACAAGCAAAATGAAGGTTCCAAAACTCAACTTTAGCTTGACTGCCCCCAAAGGAGATTTAAAAAAAAAAAAAAAAAAATCCATAGAGGCAGAGAGAATATATTATAGCAAACTTCTTACTGAAATGAAGGTTTACATTTAAACTTCTTAATCATATAGCGTAGTTGAAGTTATAATTTGCAATACATGGAATAATAATAAGCTTACAGGTTTTGTTTTGAAGAACTTCGAAACAAATTTACATTTGCATTCCTGGTCAAAAAGAAAGGTGAACAACCATCAACCATACTGCAATAAAGGTAAATGCAGAACAAATTCCTAAATAACTCACAAAAAAAGAAAAAAAAGAAAACAAAAATATTACCACCCACAAGCAGGTTGTTCAGGACCTTGCCAAGTGAAATTATTGTAGGAAAGATCCCTGCACAGAAGAATGAAACAGAATCATCTTCTAAATGTCTATGAATATGATGAGGAGACATGCACATGATATATCCACAAATATACAGAACTTAGAAGAATGAGAACACAGCCAAAAAAACATACACTGCAGTTCCTCTCTTCAAGACTGACTTTGGTACATTCCCACCAAGAGAGTTGTTTGTAAGAAAGCTGATCTCAACCATACACATTATTCAGTATGATAGACATTGCAAATTGTGTACACTATAAGTCCAACCAAGTACGTATTTCATCATACAAAGAAAGGGGGGGTGACTTACATGTATTTTATATTTGGAGCAGCTATGACATTGGGAAGTTCACCATTTAAACTGTTAAAACTAAGATCCCTGTTCAAAATCAACAAGGAAAGAAGCAGTCTTCTTATTACGTATTAGTTGCTAGGAGAGAAGGTTTCAGATTACTTAAATTCAAACGTCAGCATAACAGAGGACTACATTTGAAGTAGGACTTCAGTTACAAATTATTGTCTTTTCTTTTCTTGTCCTTTTCAAACTGATATCCCATGAATCATATATTTGCAGAAGCAAATTAAAAGTTCTATTATCAATGATTCATGCAATGAGATACTTACAGGATACGCAAGTCACTCATTTGCCAGATATAGTCAGGTATCTCTCCATAAATGTTGCACTGCTTCAGAATTCTACAAAATTAATATTTTTTAGAGGTAACGATCAAAGGTAAGTAACACCAATGAATTAAGTAATGAACATACATTCGTCTAAGGCTTGTCATGTTACTTAGATCCGGGAAGGCCTGATTTGTTCCATTTATGTCACTGATCTTCCTGTACATAATGGATGCTGTTAAAACAATATTGTTTAGTAGCAATAAACTGGTACACAGTTTTAATAGGCATACAACATTAAGCATCTACTAGAACAATAATAAGAAGCCTTTTCACTTACAGATCCACCAGGTTTTTCAAAACGGAGATGGATGATGGAATAGGCCCTTCAAGTCCACTAGCTTGCATTTCCCTGTTCGATTTCAAAATCAAAACAAAATCATAAAACATTGCCTTTAAATTCAGGTGAAATTTAAGATGCTAAAAAACCCTTTAAAATACGAGGATCTGACAGTCTGGTAAGTTGCTTCCAGTTTTGAATGAAATCTGGTATACTCCCTTTGAAGTGGTTGTCATTTATCCTACTGCATTTTGTGATAAGAATGGCATACAGGTTAAACTTCTCCCCAAATATTTTTTGCTATTAAGTTTACCAATCCTGTGAAAAGCTTACAAGCTTGTTAAATTTTTCAGGTCACCAAGTTCCCTTGGCAAATTTCCACAGAGCCTATTGTGGGAGAGTCTCCTGCAAGGGCAAAAAACCTTCTTCCTTCAAAAATATGCTGACTAGAGAAGTACTGTTCTTTCTAAAAGAATGGCTAAGAATGCAAAGTAGAATGGAAGAAGACTTCAAGAAGTGCCTTACAGAATTTCAAGGTTAACTAAGTTCCCAAACTCTTGAGGTACTTCTCCAACAAACTGGTTGACTTCAAGGTCCCTGGTATATGATATATTGATTCAGATTGCTAACAGAATACATAGTATTTGTCTTTACACTTCACATGCAGAAATGAGTTAAAACATACATGCATATACATATATAATGCAAAATCATGCACATCTGAATCTTTAAAAGCAAAAGCAAACAATATTACAGTAAAGGAAACTACTTTTCAAGCATGTTTAGTATCAGTTACCAAACATCTTCAATCAATAAACCAGAGTACTGTAGAACTTACAAGTATCTAAGGCTGCTGATGTTCCCCAAATAGCTTGGAATATTCCCTGATAATTGGTTTCCAAAGACAGAACTGCATTAAAAGTAACTTGGTTAACTTAAAAACAGCTGGTAGTTCCTAGTATGAAGTAACCATTGATGAATTTATCACTTGGCAATAAATAAGTCCAAACTTTTCTTTCTTCAAATCAAGATGTTAGGACGGAATGAGCAAAAAACCTGAGAGGAAAGTACCCTCTATTCTGTCATCAGAAAATATAGGCAAAGGAAAAATCACAGGTTGAGAGAATAACTTACATGAACTCTAACTGCATTGAAGCCCATTCAAGTGGTATTGAACCACTAAGGAAGTTGTAGGCAAAATCTCTGCAAGCCATAGAATCTAGGAGATTTAAAATTTGTTGATTTTCAACTTCTAATGAGAAAGAGAGCAATGAAAGTGAATTTACTATAAAAATCTCTTTTAATTAGACAGAAAGGATGTGCAGAGAGACAGCTATCTTGCTTACATCTTTTTGAGGAAAGGAAGCTGGACAAGTTCACGTGGGAGTACTCCTGGAAGATTGCAACGCTTGAATATGCTGAAATCCAAAGGAAGCCCAATATTAGTCATTCCTAGTACCAATGTCTAGTCAAGAACCAA